GATATTTTATGCACAAATTTATTTTTTTATCCATGGTTACTTAAAAGTATTAAAGTGAATGAAATATGAATAGTACTCGATATTCTAAATAATATATTATGTAATTGCTCTCTGTTAATAAAACCAATGTTGTGTTAAAATGCTTCTAATGTGGTTTTAGCATCGCACAATTGACATTGTGGTACTGTTCATGCCATGATAATTGACACAGCTATTCATGAAATCTGTTTTTCTGAAAACTATCCATAGTTAAGTAAACCCCTCTATTAATAAGATTTATCGAATGTAGTAGCTCTCAGAACCATTACTTAGACCATAAAATCATTTAATTAAGCTTTTAATTTCAAAATAAGAGAATGAGAAAGAACAAACAAAAAGAACAAAGGAAATACATGGTTCATCATATTGGGCATAAACCGTAAAAAAACAGTCATCATATTGGGCAGGAAGTTATACAACAATCTATACTTAAAATCATATAAATCACAGTTTTGTATAGACTTTATAAATTGTCAATTTTTTTAGGAAATATATATGTACAATACAGTGTACTCAAAAATATATGCACAATACAATGCACTCAAATATATATGTACAATACAGTGTACTCAAATATATATGTACGATACAGTGCACTCAAATATATATGTACAATACAATGCACTCAAATATATATGTACAATATAGTGCACTCAAATATATATGTACAATACAGTGCACTCAAAAAAAAAAAAGTTTATTCAATTACTTTTTCTGTAAGAAGTTTTTTATCCATGACTTTAATAGCAACCTAAAATATTAATAGTTTGTGTTAAAAATAAAAATATTAATAGTTTGTGTAAAAAATAAAAATATTAATAGCTTGTGTCAAAAATAAAAATATTATTAGTTAATGTTAAAAATAAAAAATCATTAAAAAAAAAAACAATATAAAAAATGAAGAAAAAAATTAGAACAACAAAAACAATAAACAATATAAAAGCATTAAAAAAAAAAAAAAAAAAAAAAAAAAAAGCATCAAACACTAGAGTAATAAAAACCTTTTCATTTGTAATAATATGCTCTGCAAGAACAACTTTTGCAAAACCACCTTAAAAAGTAAATATGAATAATTATTTATTTTAATAATAATTTGTAATATTAAAATAAATTCTCATAATTCTCAAAAATAAATTAATATAAATTGTCATAAATATTTATTTATCTTATATTTTATGTAATTAAAAAAAAAAAACAATTAAATAATAAATTTTCTTTTCACCTTGTCCAAGTTCTTTATTTTTATCTTCATAGTTACAAGATAGCTCTGGTGGAAGGGTAACAGTAAATGATTGAAACTTATCAGTGCCAGGCATTTTAACAATTAAAAATTATTAACAAAAATAATAATTTTTACTTATAAAAATATAAAAAGAACAGCACCAAATTTCTAATTATAATATTTCTATATTTACGCATTTTTCTAAAAAGAAAAAAAAAATTAACTTGTAGCTTTATTATGCTATAATTTAAGTTTATAGACAAACATACACACACAAAATAGATATAAACTTTTGTTTAACACAAAATCAATAGCAAAATAATAAATAAATGTTAAATACAAGCTAACTTTAGTAAATATATATAAAATTTCGACTTAAATAAACTGAATGTTATTAAAATGTATTAATAAAATAATCAAGTCGAATGTATGAAGTATATATAAATACAATCATAAGACAAATATTTATTTTTTACATGTTTTGAATTAGAAAGGAACATAATTTTAATCAAACTTTATTTATACTAATCAACAAGCAAATATTTTTACAAGCAAATAATTATACAATCAAATACCAATAAAAAATTTTGTTGATATTTTTTAGCCCTCTGTATATGTAGATCATTTTATCAAAGCTTACAGATTTCACACAGATTTTTTCACAACTCTTCTTCAATTCTCAATGTTAAGAAATGATTCCATAACACTAGCTGCTAAATTTTAAGTTAAGTTTCTAACATGACAAACTTGTTTGGAAAAAACCTAAGGCCTTCAACAGAATCATCTCGGCAGAGATGACCAACTTTTTCTGCTAACAGCAATCTAAAGTAATTAAGTAAAAGTCTATTTAAAACTATTTAAAAGTAAGATTAAAAGTTCTACTGTGGTGACAAATTTTAAAATGAATTTTCTAAAACTATAAAAATGAGTAAAAATTTAAAGAAAAATCACTCACCTTTCTTTAGCTAATGCTAATGAAATTCCAACAAACCTAGCGAATTCCTCTGAAGTCAAAGAGCCTGCATCTTTTACCTAATAAAATGTTAAATAATTTAAAATTACTAGCAGCTAAACTTAAGCTAGCACAAGTGTAAATCAGCCAGCAATCTAAAATGGCTATTCCTAAAAATTATAAAAATAACAACCATTGTATATTTTGTATTAAAAAATACCTTATTTGTTGTAGTAGCAATTATTTCTTCTTCTGTGTGACTCAATGATTGTATAACAAGAAGACCACTATCAAACTTGCGAAGTCTAAAAAAAAAACATGTTTAAAATCCTAAATTAAATAAAATTATAAAACAATTGTTAAAAGCATACTTCATGTTTAATTTTAAGGATTCCATCATTTTAGCAGCATTAACTAGATCTTCAGGGGAAACAAGCTAAAAAATATATTTTGATTAACAATAAACTTCAAGGATTCCATCATTTTAGCAGCATTAACTAGACCTTCAGGTGAAACAAGCTAAAAAATATATTTTGATTAACAATAAATTTCAAGGATTCCATCATTTTAGCAGCATTAACTAGATCTTTAGGGGAAACAAGCTAAAAAAAATATTTTGATTAACAATAAATAGTAACTGTTATAAGGGTGGAAGCCCCTCATTTCCGCAATAATTATAAAGACATCTGCTTTTATTGCATTCTGATTCTTCCCTTTTGTTTTTAAGCCTTTAGTAAAAGTTATTCCTTACCTTTCTAGTCCTGTATCCAATTTAATAATTCAACACCTACTTTTATTATTTTTATGTAAAAAAAAAATTATTATTTTAATTGCTGAGAATTTACATTTTATTTGTAAAACATTCACTGTTATCTTTTTCGACGAGATAAATTTATCTTTCCTTTTTGATTTGCAACCACAGTTTAGATAAATTAAGCACAGTTAGAAAGATCAAGCATAATTAAGAAAGATCAACCACAGTTAGTCGTAAAACTTAACATTACTCTTGCAACACAATGTACATACTATGTCTTTAAAAAAAAAAACATCTCCTCCCAACCACCACCCTCCACCTCCAAAAAATTTAAAGTTGTGAAGTAAATCTTATATGTAATATTACAAATTATTACAATCCAAAACATATTTTTAAAATAACTAAAAACTAACCTCCATTCCCCTTGCACGATTAAATCTACAAAAGACATCAGATAAGGTCATAACTCCTCCTGACTCCTATAATAATAATAAATAATAAAATTCTTCTGAACAATCTTTAATTATTATCTTATTAAATTTTTTCTTTAGATTACCAGGATTTAGATTATTATTGACTTCTCAGCAGAATTCACTACACAAATAAATAACTGGGGTAAATGTTTTGAATGGTTAAAATTTTTAAATGCCAATTTTGTTAAATAAAATTTGTTTATAAGCCAATCAGTTTTGATCTAAGTAAAAATAAAACAGTATAAAAAAAAACCCTATTGGTGAAAGTTGGGAAAAACTTTAAGAGTAATTTTTTCCTTAAAACAACCTGGAACAACTGTGTCTCTTAGGTTTTTAATTAATATCAAAATGTTGATTTCGGAGCCGACAGGAATTAAACTTTAATAATAAGTAAAAAATACTTTATATTCATTAACCAAATTTTAGGCTATTTAGTTTAAATATTTAGTTTGTCTGAATTTCATCAGATAAAGTTACTTGTACCTTATAATGTTGGTGGTTGAATTTTGGACTAAAAAGGTTGACGGTTGTATTAGTCTGAAAACATGAAGACGGATGAGAGTTCCAAAGAAATTATGTGTGAGGATAAAATTTAGATAAATAAAACATTTTAGAACATAGAATTTCATTATTATTAGCTGTCGCAGAAAAGAGATCAGATTTAAAATCTGCAACCTAAGAACCTTGATTATATTAAATAAAATCAGGCCCATGAATTAGAGATAGAATGGTCAACTTACCTTTATTAATGACACTGTTAAAGATTTCCCAAAAGAATTCTAAATTCTAAATTCTGAAATATATAAATAGTCACATGCCTAAACCAAGCATGTGATTATTTGAGTATTTGTGATCCAAGGGATAACAACCATCAAAATACATTGAGATCCGAAGAAAAAACAGCAGAATTCAAACTAGTCTTGCAAAGGAGCAGTATAAAGCAGCATGATAATTTATTATGGGTCTAAACATGAGACTGATTAACTGTGCAATAATGTAAATTATAATTCTTATTAATTTTCAAAATTCTGACCTGCATTTCAAGAAGAAAAAAATCTACATTATAATGTTAAAATCTTAAAAGTCATTGATACAATCTATTTACTTGAACTTTTATCACATAAAATTTTAACAAAAACAAAAAAAGCCAAAATTATTATGGTAAACTGGTGTTTATTTTGCAGAGCAATTTTAATTCATTACAAAGTGTAAGTGCAACAGCTACCCCCAGGGAATTTAATTAATGATTATGGATGTTCAAATTTTGAAGATGAATTTTTAGCTAAATCATCAACATTTTAAGGTGCATCTGTTGCACAAAATTCACCATTTATTTAACTAAGTTTATTTAGCTTATTTTATTTACCCAAGTTTATTTAGCACCCAAGTTTATTTAGCACCCAAGTTGTTGTATTTAGTGAAGTCCTAGTAATTGATATTTAATATGTTTTAATTGTAAGTGCTGTAACTTATTATAAACATTTATTTAATATTTGTTTTTAAAATTTTTATTTTTAATTTAGGCATGCAAAAACCTAATATATATATATATATATATATATATATATATATATATATATATATATATATATATATATATATATATATATATATATATATATATATATATATATATATATATATATATATATAAACCGTCTAGTAAAGCATTATGCATATCAAGTAATATTAGATGGAAAATAAAATACTTCAATGATGCTTTGTAAAAATGTAGCCAGTTGTTTAGCTAGCTCCATATGATATCGAACACCAGAACCATGAGATTCTCTACAAACAATTTCAAACAAAGAAAAAGTATGAAGTTTTCAAAAGAAAAATTTTTTCAAGTTTCAAACAAATTTTTACATATTTTCAACTTTATTTTAAAAAAAAAAGTGAAAAAATATCTAATTAAAAATAATTATTTAACTACAGAGTAATTTTCTTTATATACTAAACAAATTTATGATGCACAACAGAATTCTTTATAAGTTTTATGTAAAACAATAAACAACTTACCTAGTCACTGGATTTTCAATTCCCATACTAAGTAAATATGATTTAAATGCAACAGTCTAGAAAATCATTTTCAATAGGTTAAATTTTTTAATGTATTTAATTAAACTAATCTATACACACATACATACAAAAATACACATATACCAAAGTTCATACATACATACATACATACATACATACATACATACATACATACATACATACATACATACATACATACATACATACATAAATACATATACATCAGCGCTCAAAATAACGGACAATCAACGATCAATGATCGACTATTTTAAGGGAAATTTTAAAAATTTCAAGGGAAAATAATCTGTTTTTGTGAAAAAATTACATTTGATCGACAAGTTTTGAAAAACTATTTTGAGCGCTGTATATATCATACATATGTACATACATTTTTTTAAAAAAAATCATTTTATCATACCATAACATAGTTAGTTCATAACATTTAAACTTTTTTTTCTTAAATCGTTGATTGGGTCATTTTATTTGTTGTTTTTAATATTAGATTGTTTGTTACGACCGTCAACAAAAAAAAACATAAATGCTTGTAAAACTTCAAGTAAAACTATGAAACTTAGCATATAACAATATCAATATGCGTTAAATGCATACACCAAATGATTTTTTTTACCATGCTGTTCTGAAAAAGTTCAAGACTTTAATGCTGTAACTTTTGCATACTAAATTATATGATAGTATTTCACATTTCTGGAAAGTTTCAAGTCATTTCCATTTTTGGTTTATTTTTAATAGCTTAAAGGGTGTCAATTGTTACGACGGCTACTCTCGCGGATTCGCTCATATATATGGACAAATCCGCATATATATATATATATTTATATATATATATATATATATATATATATATATATATATATATATATATATATGTATATATATATATATGTGTGTGTGTGTGTGTGTGTGTGTGTGTGTGTGTGTGTGTTTGTGTGTGTGTGTATATATATATATATATATATATATATATATATATATATATATATATATATATATATATATATATATATATATATATATATATATATATATACATATACATATATATACATACATACATATATATACATATATATATATATATATATATATATATATATATATATATATATATATATATATATATATATATATATATACATATACACACACATGTATATACATAAAACGCATAATTTTTTTTTTGCAAAAATATCTCCAAATTTTTACCTCATCATCTGTTATGCTAATTTCTTTTTCTTGTAGTTTTTTTGAAAACTTGTCAGCAATTGCAACCATGTCCTTTGCCTAAAACCATCTTATTTTGTCAACAAATTTTACTACTATAGTAAATATAGCATTTTCTATATACTACTTTTATGAAAACCATTTATAAATAATTGAACAAATCACTTTTCGTATGAAAATATATTATTATTTTATGAGATATTTTATTATTTTTCATTTATCTATTGTGATTTCTTTACATTTATATTTAATTATCATAACATTAAACCATGAATAAACAATAAAAAAAAACTCAAACAGTTTTAAAAACCTTTTCAATCAACATGTCAAGATCTTTAAATGCTTGTGCAACTGTTTCATCAGTTTTATTGTGCTTCTCATGGATTTTGCGTTCAATACCTACAATACCTACATGTCGATGAGAAATCTAAATAAACATTAAAAGATCTTTTAAAATAAAATGGTTTTTTATTTTATATTTGCCTCATTACAAGAAACAGAATTTAAAAAATTTTCTATAGCAAAATAATTTTACTTCAACTGGTTCTTTCGGTTTATCTATTGCTGCATTTATTATTTCCCAATCTTTTGAACATAATACATTCTTAAAAGCTTTTATAAACTATGAAAAAAAAAAATGAAAAAAATTTTAATAGCATTTTTACATTAATCTGCACAAAAAAAGAATAACATTAGCATACAACATACCTGTCCATTTCCACCAGAATGAAAAAAGAATAACATTAGCATAAAACATACCTGTTCATTTCCACCAGAACGAAATGACAGTTTAATATAGTTGTGTTGACTTTTTTGCTTTGGTCCATCAGGTTTATTTGTTAAAACAGAACTAAGATGAACCAGCACCTTCGAACTATTAAATAATATATACACATATATATTTATATGAACTCACTTTTGCAAATTCAAATCAGCACTATTCTAATATATTTAGACTTTAGGTTTTAAAATGCCAACAATAAATAAATCTTTTTATTATTTGCTGCAATTAATGTTTAAAATATCAGTCAATGTATGCATCAAAACTTCAATAAATGACTGTTTCAGTATTGTTACTGCAAAATTACTTCATTGACTGTTATATATGGATCAATGCTAATAAATATTTTATTTGATGGAATTTTAACAGAATTAAAAATTATTGTATCAAGTAAATTCAAACATGAAAACTGAAATGAACTATTTAATGAAATTTTTAATTTCATTAAAAAGTTATGAAATGAACTTTTTAAGTTACTGAAATGAACTTTTTGATGGAATTTTAACAGAATTAAAAATTATTGTATTAACTAAATTCAAACATGAAAACTGAAATAAACTTTTTAATGAAATTTTTAATGAAGAACTTTGTGCTCGTAAAGATTGTTCAGCAGTTAGTAGGATACCATATAGATTTGATTTTCAAAATGAATTCACTGCTCAAACACTTATAGACACAAAAAAATATTTGGTTTGCTTTTTTTGTCAAAAGAATCATTTTTCTAACAAATACTTAAATGCTATTGATAGAGAAAGTATAAAAAATATGCTAGGAAAACAAGAACATTGTTTCATTTGTATAAAAAAGGGCAGATTTTAAAAAATTGTAATGCATTATATAAATGTGTAAAATGTAATTAATATAATGTAAGCATTTGCAGAAGTTCCAGTAGAGAAAAAAAAATTGAATAATGTCTTAATGATTTCAAACCAAATGAAACTGTTAACCATGTTAATTGTTCATAACAAACAATATTGCTACAAACTGCATTTGCTCGAACTAAAAATATTGTTGCTAAAAAAGTAATAAATTAAAGATTATTTTTTGATTGTACATATTGTACGGAAGCATTAAGAAAAATTTAAAAGTATTTCAACAAGAAACAGTTTTAATAAAATGATTTGCCTCAAATGAAGAAGTTCTGAAAACAATAGATAAAGTGCATGTTTGTGTGCATGGAAAAAATAAAGATGTTAATACTTTTATTGAAGCTCTTTGTTGTTTTTTTTTGTTTCTTTTCATGTTTTCCCATATAAAAACTATTAAAATTTTAAATAGTTTTTATTTTTAAACCAACTAATAAAAACTGTAAAATAGTATAAAATCGTAAATGTATGTTAATAAATGAAACTAGTAACAGCAAGTGTTATAGAACAACTTTTATAAAAAAATAATAAATAATATTTGGCATAATTATTTTTTCTATTAATGGCTATTTTTTTATGCTATTCAATTTTTTCATTAATGTATCTTCAATAATGAAGAACTGTTACATTTCTCACAACTAACAAGTAACTTTTTAACTCCGGACAAAAAAAAACTTGATGTTAGTTAAATTAAGAAATGAAAGATGTTTGTTTTTGTTAAATTTGCTTCTTAAGATGTTCTTTAAGATGTTTGTTTTTGTTAAATTTGCTTCTTAGATTTCATTTAATTTAAACAATAGAGAATTATGGCAGCATGTTTATAAAAAGATGCAATACTATTGCGGTTAATGATAGTTATTTTTACTTCCTTATGGCTTTTTCATTTTATTTATAAAGGACCCTAAGTTTAATATGATATTGAACAAATTTAACATTCAACCTTTGAAATTCTACTATTAAATAAAAAAAAATTATCAAATGAATAACATTGCAAATAGTAACAGAATTACTTTAAAAATTATTAAATTTTATTAATATTTTTTTTTACAAAAATGTTTTATAAAACTAAATTTAATTGCAATGTGTTACTTTAAAATACGCATTTGACCTAATAAATAAATCTACTATTAAAAATAACTTGACTCAATATAAATATGTATATTGAGTAAAGTTACATTAACTTGCGTTATGCTTTTATGCTATGCAACGAAATCTTAATACAAGGTCTGTACAAATTGGACTTGGACTTTGACTTCCATTACACTTTTCAAAAAAGTTTTTTTAAATGCAATAGAAATAGGTATGACAGTCAAGTAATAGAAAATTTAACATTTTTCTATTTCATATCAAAATTGCATTTTTCTATTTTATATTGCAACTCTTATCTTTACAACAAAGTCGTATCCAAAAACACTGCAATTAAAAAAATTATATAACCCGAATTCTCTGAAAATATTATTAAAAAAATTTGTTCTATACATAAACAATTTTATGAATGTATAATAAAACAAAAACTAAAAACTCATAAAAAATAAATATCAAAAAACTGCATAACATTAATACATCCTAAAGTATAACTTTTATTCAAAATTTATTTTATATTTTATTAATATATGCATGTATATTTATATATAAACATCGTCATGATCAACATGATGATGATGATGATGATGATCACCATCATCATCATTATCATCATCATCATCATCATCATCATCATCATCATCATCATCATCATCATCATCATCATCGACATCATTGTGATAAGACTGTAAAAACTTCTGGGAGCACCTTAATAGGCACAACAAATAAAAAAAAGTAAAGTCTCATTCTACTCTTAATTTTTCAGCTTCTTATGCAGTTGCAATTTTAAATAATTTTTCATATAACCATTTTCTTCATCTTTTTTACATGAGAATCTCTCTTGAGAACTGTTTTTTATTAGTGCAAGAAGTCAATGTAAAAAAATTCTGCCTGAAGCTAAGCTCCATTTTTATTTTGAAAATCTTTAACAGCATCATTAATACAGGTAAGTCTAACATTCTATCTCTAATTTATGGGTATTAATTTATTACTTCTCCCCAGAATAAGGTAGAGTTATTTGCAAAAAACTTTTCCTCTAACTTGACTCTTGAATCTTATAGCTATACTCATTCTGTCATTCCAGTTAAACAGATTAACGCATTAGTATATAGACAGATATTAAACAGATTAACGCATTATTATATATCTAAATCACTTTGGCTTCCAATCTTAAAGTCAATTCTTAGTTAATATTATATACAGATTTGATGCAGATAACATTATCATCACAGTCTTACAAAAGTGTTCTTCAGAATTCTCTTCAATTTTTGCTAAACTATTAAGAAGTGCTAAATAAGCAACTCCAATATTTAAAAACTTTAGAAAAACACAAAACACTCTTAATTCAATGACCCCTCCAACTATTAAATGATTAGTCCTCTATTATTTTTTTTTTATATAAAAGTTTTAGGATTATTGAATCATTTCTTTCTAACCACAGTATCAAAGTTGTTCTTGAAGACCAACACTCTTCTTCTTTTGCAGTAATTTTTTAGTACTACTAAGGTTCTATCATTGCTCCTATATTGTTTCTTATCTACAATATACAATCTTCCTGACATTCTTACATCTAAGCACAGAATATTCAGTATTTGGTATTTAGCAAAAATCACTATTTGTGGCATCTTTAATATATAAATACATATGTATGTATATATGTATATATATATATATATCAGGCTTGGTCGGGAAGAGGGAGCGATCGCTCTTGATTGCTGACCACGTAAATAATATTTAGTTGCGAAAAGCAACTAAATATTATTTACGATTGAAAATAATATTTAGTTGATATCAGATTTTTTAGTCGTTTTGAGAACATTTAAAAAAACAAAAACAAAAAAGCGTACTAAACTAATTGGACCGATAAGAGACAATAACAAAAAAAAAAAAAAAAAATTACACAAATAAAATATCTTTAAACGCGAAAAAACTTAAAGCTAAATAAATTACGTTTAGAACGAAACATCGCTCTTATATAATTTTTTTTTATAAAATTAAGCAGTATTTTTTATATAAAGTAACAACTTACGATTGCTTAAAAAGGAAACAAATATTCTTTATTTAATAAAGTTTGCAAGTTTTAGTTTTATTTAGGCTAAATTATTTTCTAAATAAAAAAGTTAATTTTTTTAATACCTATTTTATGTTTCGCGTAGTTTGAAAAGTTTAACATATTTGAAGCAATTTTTCTTAGTAAGATAAACAAATGAAATAATTAAATCATTGAATTACTATAGAAATTAAATTAACAAGATAGAAATCAACGGGGTTAAAAAGGGTTAAAAATACTTTATGACAAGGAAGCGAAACTGCTTCGCAATATCGAATTAGGAATGGCAACTTAAGCGAAAATAATTAGAGTTAGTAAACCAATATCCAGAAACTTTTCTTTATATCTAATTATTTGCTATAAATATTTGTGTTCTGTCGTGACCTCAGGCGCGGTGCTTGTTCATCCGCAAGTTACTTTGTATGCATTGTTTGTGTTTAGTAACCAGAAACTTCTTACATTTTTGTTACATAATTAGTTTTACTAACTTTGACGATTAAAACTTCTATGAAAACGCAAATATTTTTGTAAGTCTTTGTTTAAATCATAAAAATTGCTTTAAAAGATACATTATGATAAAAAACAGATACACAAAATTACATTTACATAAAGAATACATACTTTTTAAATAAAAAATAAGAATGTACTAATAAAATATATAATTTATCATAAACTTTTAAAATTTTGACAACTTAATTAATATATATTTAAAACATTTATTTTTGTAAACAAATAATATATAATCTTAAAACAATTTGTGCTAGAAATCTCAAAACGTCACAAATCGTGAATAATACAATTTTTTTTAAACATTTCAACAGAACAAGTGAGAACTTTATTTCGCTTAGTCAGCATATTTTTTGAAGCAATAGAATTAGTTTGTTTGTTACTTTGGCAGGTTTTTAGTGTTCACGATTATTTTTTTTTATTCTTTCGCGCCAAGAAATTTTGAGAACATTAAATTTTTTTATGTTTCCATGAATGTCCGTGTATAAATGTTCTCAAAACGACTAAAAAACCTGGCCAGTTTTTCGCTAGCTAATTATAATTTCCGTGGTCAGTATTCGAGAGCGATCGCTCCCGCTTCCTGACCAAGCCTGTATATATATATATATTTATACATATATATATATATATATATATATATATATATATATATATATATATATATATATATATATATATATATATATATATATATATATATATATATATATATATATACATATATATATACATACATATATATATACATACATATATATATATATATATATATATATATATATATATATATATATATATGTTTGTTTTCATTAAGTATTTAATCTAGTGTTTTGGTTTGTTTATAAATAATTTGTATATACTTTGAGTTAATAAACATTCTTTATAAGCAAAACTTTTTTCTATAAAACTAATCCGATGTTTTAAAAATGTTCAACAACATCTATTTGTTAAACTCTTTTTAATTTTGATAATTTTTGCCTAAATAATGTCAATTTAATATGTATTCTCCATAAAACTGGTGAAGTTGAAGAAGCTTTAAAGAAATTTAACATGGGCAAGCACCAAATAGTTCTTGAAGATTTTATCAGGTAATTCGAATGGATTGTATGGAAGCAGCGAGGCAAAGACTATTGCTCTTAATATAGCAAAAAGCCTTTAATAAAGTACAGCATGTTGGTCTTCTTCATAAGTTTGCTTCATATGATGTATCTGGTAGAGCCTTTAAAATTATTGAATCATTACTTTTTAACTGCATTATTGAATGTGTCTTTGATGGACAACAATTTCCTTCATTTTCAGTAACTTCTAAGGTACTAAAAGGTTCTTTTGTTCTATGGTGTTGGTGTTCCTCATCTATTTTAATAATTTACTTAATAATCTTACATTTAAAGAAGCTTTGATGATAACACTATATACTTGATGATGACTGTACTTGATGATGATACTCCAGTCTTAAGAAAAAGTTATCACTTTTTGATCACTTAAAACAACTCAATCTCTCTTTTGTGACAGTTGAAAGCTTGCAATGGCTGGTGAATTTTAACTCAAACAACATTCAGTTGTTTATTGCTATTATTTATTGCAATATTCTTTATATTTCTATATTGATAAATGCCAACACTCTTATTGAGTCCTTATCTATGTCTTCTCAAATTATCATCCACTAGTACCTCTCATAAGAAACTATATATACAATTAATTTCATCTTCTAAGATTGGCTCTCTTTATAGTGCTTATCATTATCATGCTCCTGATTCCATTTTATATCTCTTTAAATCTATTTTCTCATTTAATCTATCATCTCTTTAAAACTATTATCTCTTTAAATCTATTATATTTTTAAATCTATTATCTCTTTTATCTATAACTTCTTTAAGTCTATTATCTGTCCTTGAATAATACTATAGCCATATTTTGTTTGGTTCTTTTGATATTTTTACTCTTTTAGACAAGGTCATAAAAAGCATTTTGAAAGTTGTTGGACTTGTTTTGGCAGCCAATTTAGTCTCAACCTCATTATCATAAGGTTGTATTTCTTTTACTTTTTTACAAATACTACCATGGTTGCTGCTCAAGTGAGCTGTCGTCACTTGTTCCACAACCAAAACCCAAAACTATTTGTTTCCTTGCTCTATAACTATGTTCTTTTTTTTTTTTAGTAACTCCCAACTTAATAGTGGTTGCTTGCAGCCTTGTTGAGAGTGAATGCAAATAAAAAAAAAAAAAAAAAAAAACTAAATCTCCTGTCTTGCTAAAAACTCATCATTCAGCAAAGTTGCTTCCCTTTATTGCAATAGTTTCTTCATGCTGAAAAAACTTATATTCATTTAGTTTTTTTCTTGAAATATTGGTTCAAATAACATTTTTTTCTTCTGCTAACCGCTTTCTTTATCTTTAACTCTCCTTGACTTCTGTTCTCAACTTAATTGGTGGTTGCTTGCAACTTCTTCAAGAATTTCCATTTGCTGTGAGCAAACTTTTTTATTTTTTTATTTACTTTAAAATACAACAGAAAAAAATAAAAAAGAAAGAAAATTATATTTCAGAAATTAAGTAAATAACATTTATTTCTACAACAAATATTTTCACCTGCCACAAGAAACAAACTTATTGTTTAATAAAAAAAATAATTAGACTAATGCCTGCTTTTACATCACTGCCAATTAACACCAAAAACATCTGGTTACTATTGTTACCTGGTTACTGTTAAATCATTGTCCTGTTAAAACTGTTTCTATAAACACCTTCTATGTAATATTGTTTCACACAAAATATCAATCTATAACTTTTCAGATGATGTAAACATTCTTAGTATGTATAAAGATCTTTCACTTTATATCTTTTACTTCTTATTTACATTATTTCTTAGAATAGGAAATATCTTATGCTACTTAACAATGTTTATACAATGGCTTAAAAATAAACTTAAAAATACCTTTTAAACAATGAAGCACTCTCAACATCAATCTTTTGAACCAAAGATAAATCAAGAGCTAATGTTCTTTCCTACAAAAAATAAATGCTTTTCTGTAAATGATAAAAAAGACTTTTTTTTTTATATATGCTAAAATTATTAGAATATATGTTTAAAATATGTTTAATATGCTTAAAACAAACCAAAATAAAGTAAAAAATATGTTTAAAACAAAATAAAGTTAAAAAATGTACCTTTTGAACTGAATCTTTCCAAATAAGTTTTAGGTTTGTTAAAGTTAACTCACCACTATCAAATGTTGTCTGATGTAATAAAAAAATTTATTTTTATGTTAGCAAATAAAGTTTTTAAATTGTAACAATACAATCATGTCAAATAAAAACACTTGAACAAATAAATAAATGTTTATCCTTAGCACATACAAATGATAGTTTGTTATTTTTTTAAATAAAGGTTTTAATAAAAAAAAAATTTAACAAAAGATAATTCCTTCAAAGTTTTATTAATAAATAAAATAATTACTAAAAAAAGCAGCAACTTATAAAATTGAACAAAAACTTGCTAACCATTTCATCTCCATCATATATTCGGACATTGCTCTGACTATGGACATTTCTTTCATTTGCATCCATTTTCTGCAGCCAATAAAATCTGTCCATCTTATAAATTTAAAACTTTTAATGTAAAAGTATTTTTAACAAACTATTTTCTGAGAATAGAGTAATAGACAAGGAATATTATTGACTTTAGTTACCACTAATGTTTAGTTATAGCTATTGCACAAAAAACAAGTTAAACTTATAATAAGATTTTTATATATAATTACTATGGTAACTGGTTCATGAATTAATCTTATTTTTTGCTAATTCTAGAGAAATCTTCATTACTCAGCTAAAAGCAAAATTAAGGGGAAAAAATGTATATATGTTCATAAGTAATTAAAATCTTTGAGTGGTGTGAAAATCAGCAAAACCTGAGACTTAGGGTTACACTTTATAAAAAAAAAAATGGAAGTGTTTTAAGTATAAATTCATCAGTATAAATATATGTAAACTAAATGTTTGAATTAAGTAATTAATTAAATTATAGCAAACATTAAATTTATAACTCATTAAAGCAAGTGAAAGAAATGATTGCAATAATTAAAATCTTTTGAATTTAATGAAGATTTTGTTTAAATTTAGTATAAAAAATTATTCCTTAATAATTTTTTTTTACTTTTTTAATGCTTCCTAACAACATGTTAACAACGTGTTGTTAGGAAGAAAACAAACTATGCACAGGGCCCCTGAGAGGAACGGGAAATATAAATATACATGCTCCAGGCACATAGGAGTGCCAGAAGACAAAAGACAAAAAATAATAAATAAAAGATGTTAACAACAAAAAAGTAAAAAACTTGTTTTTATTAGGGAAGAGGGGAAGGGAACAAGGAAGGGGGGCACATGCCCTCCCTCTTTTTTTAAAAATTCAGGATATAGAGGAATTATTATTTTTTTGACTGTTGTGCCTCCCCCCCCCTTCCATTTCAAATTAAAAACTATTTAAGAAAATGATAATTTTTTTTTATCTAAATAAACGAGTAAACTACTTAAATAAAATAAATATTGTTACTTTATCAGCTCTTAAATACACTTTTTTTTCTGAAAAAAACACTTAAAAAAAAACACACCAATAACACAATAGTGAGCTAATTGAAACTTAAACATAATCACAATAAATAATATGACATATATATATATATATATATATATATATATATATATATATATATATATATATATATATATATATATATATATATATATATATATATATATATATATATATATATATATATATATATATATATATATATATATATATATATATATATATATATATATATATATATATATATATATATATATATATATATGTCATATTATTTATTGTGATTATGTTAAAAAATATGTTAACTAGGTTAGTTGTTATTTTTATACTAAATAAAAATTGTGCTTTATCTATTATTCAAATTTATAAATTTATAACTACTGTCGAGTCCTTAATACATAAGGGGGCAAATAAAAGGATAGTTATTAAGTTGAATTAACTTGGGAATGCAAAGCGCAATTACCTTTGCTTTATTTATATTAACAAAGAATTATAGTTTTGAATAATTTATCTCTTTTCGTTGGTTGGTGGAACCAATTAATTATTTGGAACATAAATTTTCATTTGTTTTTTATATACCTTCTGACGCAGATAAAAATTTTAGCAACTTTTTACCGAGCAATATAATAAAAAAAAAACCAAGAAAATAAACTTATCTACGTATTAAGGAACCTAAAATTCTAAATAAACTGAATGATTCTATAAGCTTTTAATTAGACAATAAAATCATCAGGATAAAATTAATGAATCACCAAGGTTAGATTAAAGAATGACCTAATTTATTTTTTACAAAAATCTTATTTTTTGCTTATACTAGAAAAACCTTTATATATATATATATATATATAATATATATATATATATATATATATATATATATATATATATATATATATATATATA